GTGCCACATGAATTTATGCCACATATGGCAACACATATGCAACATCTATAGCTCTGTCTATATATATATTTCGGAAGTGTGGAGTCTGCCTCTCGATGTGAATGGTATGGTTCATTCACGCGTTGCTGATAACAAGGAGGCTGGGATTTTGGATTGTTTTCTTCCTTCTCTTTTTTTTGGAAATATGAAAATGAAAACATGTTTTATGTGTAAACGAAACAAGTTTAATCTACATAAATGATGGTTTATGGGTTATGGTAAGATTCTGAATAAAGAATAATTTAAAAATATTTTCAGCTAGTTATAAATTTGATAAAAATTAGATTATACGAAAATTTAGGAGCTTGAGGCGTAATAATTGGTATTCCCCAACCTAGCAGCTGCTACTTATACTAACTAAGCAGTTAATCAACACGTATGTGTAGTCAATATATTTAAAACATATTCCATTTGTTTTAAACTTGGCTAAAAATAATCTTAAGACATATTGCTCATGCATACCTACTGAGAAAATGCCTAACAATTTTCTTTACTCATTCATTTCTTCCCACTATTTTTGCAGGTGCTGCCAAAACTCTGGCTGAAACTCAAGCGAATAAAATGTCGATAAAACGTAAAAATCTGAAGTTAATTTTCTTTGAACAGTGACGAAGCAAAGCAAATTGGGAAAAACAAAACGAAAACAAAGTGAAAAGTCAAGCCGAGACTAACGAAAACGAAAACACGATCGATTTGCATTCGCGCATATACATTTATGTATATACATAAATATAAATATACATATATATTTAGTTAGAAGAAGAACCCGAAACGAAAATGGATCTTAGTCTCGAACGCGATAGCTCGGCGCTGGGCAGCTTGTTTCAACAGATCATCAATGACATGAAGGTAAGTGATCGATACATTTATCGATAATTCTCTTGCTAAAAAGTAAGCAAAAAGCGCGGAAGTCTATTAATTAGCCGGAAATCTGTGTAACACAAGTTGGAGGAAACATTAGTTGAGTTTCCTCACGAATCACTCGCCTTTCCAGCGAGAATGCAAGTTCCAGTTTCCAGTTCCAGTGAAATGAAACGTAGTCAAATGGAACTAGAGACGTGTCAGCCAATTGTTGACAGTTGTCGCTTTTCGCTCGAGACTTATTGAATAACAAAGCATATAAACTAAATAAATCAGAAACTCGAAAGGTCAGGTGTGTGTGTCAAGAACATTTTTCCAGGGTATACAGAAAAAAAAGAAGTTAACCGAAGCCCAGCAGAAATAATTAAAGCCAAGGTCAGAGCAATGCGAACTGTGTGCGAAATAAACAAAAGTCTCAGATAAACAATTCCGTTGCGATAAAAGATACTCAACTCTGTTGCTTGCCAATTCTCAAGGCTTCACTGTACATAAATATGTCAGAGAATGAAAACAAAATCGTCTAATTGATTTTTTATTCTCTCTTTCGCATACACTCTCTCCCTCTCTCTCTGCCTCTATCTCTGTCTATTGGCTGAAATGCCAAAAGTAAGTGATTCAATTAATCTACGCGAGTTCAATAAAAAATATAGATATGTTTGCTTCCATTCTTAATTACTGTTTGATGCCCTGTAAATCTTGCTGGCAAGGAGCATGTGCTTTTATATTCTTTAAGTAAGAAAAGGATATTTATCGAGTAGTCATATAACATCATAAACGTAATACCTTTTCATTGATAATCATCTATGATACTCTTCAATTTCTTAGTTTATTGCTATGATTGATATGGGATAGTTATTATTACAGGGTATTTTTCGGATTCCTTTCAGTTGCATGTATATAACAGGGTATATGTTTTAGTTACTCGCATTCTCATTAAGATGGGAATCTGCTCATTATAGGGTATTTGTGCTTCGGTATAGCAGTCTCTTGTCCGTCTATTGTTGCGTTGCTTAATCTATTGCCACACCAAACTCATTATATTTATCTATTTAATTGCAGTGTATCAATAATTTATAGCAATCATGACGCCACTCGCTTTATACATAAATGTTTCTTATATTAACTGAACTTAATGGCGCTTCAATTAACAAGAGAGCATAGATAAATATATAGGGTGTATATCACTATATCTGTATAGCAGCTAAAGGTTCGGTGCCTTAGTCTTGATTTTTAGTCTAAGCTCTTTAGGCGGAGAGATCAACGCGACTCGACAGAGATCATGCAACATAGTTTATGGGTTCCAGGGTATTTATAGTTGACTATTTTGGGCTCAACTGCTCGAAAGCTATGAAAATTTCGGCTTGATTTCCAGAAATGTCTTGAGACCATTTCCGACTGGGCTGTCGACAGGTGTTGTGCATTGCGACGCCTTCGCTGGTTGGTGCCCAAAGATAAAAGTGTGCCGCGCCTGCTTTTAGCTATTTTTACAGGTAAAGATACAGATACAACTACAGATGCAGATACAGAGATACAAACGGCGATGCAGACAGCTGTCAGGAATTGTGGATGCGGGCGACTGCATTTTGTATTTATGAAACTTATTTATTTTTCTTTCGTATGTTTGGTTTTTTTTTTTTTTTGGTGGCCACGCAATTGTGCAGCAGTTCGTTGTACTTCATAGTTGTTAGCTATTTTCTAGCTATAGCTGCTAGCTGTTGGCTTGTTTTCCAGCTGTAGTTGCTGCCGCTGCTGCTGCTGCTGCGGTTGTTGCTGTTGTTGTTGCTTGGCCTGTGTGCGAATTAGAGCAGAAACATGCCTTGAAGCATGTGCAGCAGCATCATCATTTGGTTTAGTTACTGCCACAACTGCGGCGCTTGGCTAAGCTAAAGCGTCTGTCTGGCAATATACCCCGGGCTAATTAGTAGCTGTGGGGTGTATTGGCCACTTAGATTTAGCTGTATCTAATGAGTAATGAGTAATGAATAATGAGTAATATGCCCTGTGCCAATGCTAGCTAATCAGCCGAGCGGCATATCGAGCAATTGTAGGGTATACAGAGATATGCCTAGCTTACTTTGCCTATCTGTCTTATATTCCATGGTATTTGGCAAGTCGAGCCGCTTATGCTCCCGGCCCTTACCTTTTATTGTTGTGTAGTCTCTCGACCTGGCCAAAATGCAAATGTCAGCTGTTGCTGTTTAAACAGACTTAGCTTCAATTCCAATTTCCGTGCAACTAAAATTTGTTTTTATATTTTTGGTATGTGTTTTAATTGCTTGGCTGCGTTTGCCATAGTTAAGTCTCGCTCTTCCTCTCTCCTTCAGTCTATCTCTCTTCCTCTCAAGATATATAGATGTTTGCGTATATTTAGCTTAGATCTTAAATGCCAGCAGACCGAAACAAATTGTATGCCCCTGCACCCAAGATGCGGGCCAAGGTGGATGGAAATGCGAATACTAAATAAACAGAAATACGTGAATATATAAGTATAATACTTTATATATTTAATTCTAAATGTTCTGCTAACGGGACTCTCAACTAGTTGCAATTAATTGCGGCTAATTTCAATTAGAGTGAAGTCCAAAGTTTTTCAGAGCTACTGCCACATTGTAATTGTTGCTTAATCTGGCTTTTATTTTTATGTTTTTCTTATTTTTTTTTTTTTAAGCAATTGGCGCTGTTTTTTAGAGGTTGTTCAACTTCTTCACTCGTCGCGCTCGGCTGACTGCCAAGCGACTCGTCTGCTAACTGCAAATTCGTGAGTCTGTCATTCAGTCAGTCTCTCAGTCAGTCATCCAATCTAACTCTCAGCTAGGCAGTTTGTCAAATTGTCGCGTTTGGATGGGACTCGCTGAAATGTGTAACAGGAGAGACGCGCTAAGTGTGCACTGTCAGACACATGGCGGCTATAATAATGATACCCTGTAGCCAAGCAATGTACAAATATTGGATATGACAAGCTGGGGAAACGAGAGACAGATGTGTTAGAGAAACCTGGCTTGGGCTTATAATAGGAGAGAGAATAGTGATACGATAATGGAAGAGATAATAATGAAGATAATAATAATTGTCAGTCTAGTTGATCGAACTGTATATGCTCCTAACCAGAGCCCATTCTATTTGCTCGTTTGCAACCATGTTACTTCATGAATTTGAATGCGTATCTGCTAGTCCATCATATTATTATATGTTTTGTCATTGTCACAAAAGTGAAAATCGCTTTCTGTGCCCCGTTGGCACTTTTCCGACTTCCCTTTCTTGCTGCCCCACTCAGGTCTTTTGGGCAAGGCAATTGCCGTCGAGTGCGTCTTAAGATATTTTATTGTCTTTAACTCACATATGCGCATTAGGCCCGTTAATGCGTGCGTAGCAAACGGTAAAACGAGAAAATTGTGCTTTTACTTGAATACAGAAAAATTGTGCAAATTTAAGTGCCTGAACAAGCCCGAACTCAGTGTCTAGGCAATTTTGATAGAGGAATTCTGGTCCCGCTTGAGCTTTGGCCGATATTTGCATTTGACAATCAGATAGTACATCAGTAGGTAGCTCAATCCGTATATGGTCATAAAGCTGGCGCCCAGAAAGAGGCCTATGGCCCCTCCGAATGACACGATCAGCTGATCCATGCTGAAGACAACGCGACGCTTGATGCCCATCTTGGGTAGCTCTTGATTCAAGATAAACTTGCGGTCAAAGTTCTGTGAGTTCTCTGCACCACCGCCATTCTGTTAACAAATGTGATGAAAGTGGGGAAACTAAGCCATAAGAGGGGAAACTTACTGAATCAACTTTCTCGGTGACAATAAAGCTGATCTCCTTGCAGAGGGGCATGCAATCGCAGGGCTGCTCCAGCCACTTCTTACGCGCCAGGCACACCATTTGACTGACACTGCAAATGCGATCCTTGGGACCTTCCACATAGAAAAAGGGTTTGCAATGGCACAGAGCCAGGGCTCGGTTGATACGACACTCCATGCGACAAAGGCTGGGATGATAGGGCTGCAATGTGTAGTAGAAAATTGCGTATGAAGTAGGAGACGAAATGCAAAAATGGAAATGCATGACACCTACTGCATAATACTTGAGATTGTTCTCATCGATGTATCGGCACTTGCGATAGGCGATGGGCACATTGCGCACCTCGTTCTCCGCCGAAATGGAGTTGAGCATGAACTGTATGTGGTAGGTGCTCTTGTTACCCATGTCGAGGGCCACGGTGCGACGATCGTGTGGCATCAGAAACTCATTCACGTCGTGGACAAACTGAGTGAATAAATATACCTACCAAGAACTATCTTTGCACACTAAGGAAACTATTTACCAGAGTGACCGTAGTGCCAGGCATAGGTGCCTCAATAAGGGTGCGACAGTTGTCAAAGTAGGTGCACATTCGAATGGGCACTATGAGATTTTGCCTGATCAACGGACAATATTGTGGATCAAAGATAGATAGAATGTGATATTCATAGTTACTGAGCCTGTCTCTCTGTCGGAAATCCAAATTTCGCCAGCTGGCTCGTTGTCAGGCAGAGGCCCATTTCGGTTAGGGTGGACACAAACTCGGGAACTGCTGGCTGCTTCGGTATAGTGTATACCAACAATTTCCTTAACATCCGGGCAAAAGGCAAAGTCTGCACAGTCGTGTCATTCTCATAGGGTATCAATGTTTCGAAGTTATTGTATTGCAATCGATTCAAGACGTGCAAAAATTTGGTGTAATAGTTAATCTTTTCAGTGGGTATAGTCGCTTCAGGGAGCTCAGCATAGTCGTTGTCCCAGATACTGTCAATTATGATATCAGATCACTTAGTTGCTTGACGCGCAGATCTTACTCACTCGTTAATCAGCTTATACGTTAAGTAGGGAGGCAGTTGGGTGTACTGCGTGCAGAGGGTGATCCCTAGAATGGGAAACGAGCGCAGCGCGAATAGATATTCGTATTCGTAGATAATGGGATTATTCTGATAGCGCAGCCATTGTGACAGGCAACTGTCGACTGCATAGTAGCTGGATCCTATGATCACGGCCAGCCAGAAGATGCGTTCGAGAAAGTGGAGATCCTTGCGGGCGAGATATGGCATGCCATGTATGGCCGATTCCTTGCACACTTCCTTCCAGAAATCCATTGCTTCAGCCTTCTCCTGCTCCTGCTCCTGCTCTTGCTCCTGCTCTTGGCCCTCTGCGTTATTGTTTTCGCTCTGACTTGCCATGATGCACTGAGTGTTCCTGCTTGTGGCACTCCATTTTAACTAGCTCTGCTGTCGAGTCCTAGAGAAATGATGAGCTCTACAAACAAGGGACTCCGCCCACAACAAGCGGTTCCTCCTTAATGGTATTCTGTTGTAGCGCTAATGACTTTGCTGCATGCATATTCAATTAAATTGTCAGCTAAATGTGAACCATATTAAAATGATATTTATATTGAGCCCCATTCAGATTAATATTCAAATATCGATTTGGCTTTCCAAAGATCAAAGAAAATCGTAAAAATTTGTTCAGTTTTAAGGTCATATTAACACTTGTTTTTACATCTGAGCATCGTTTGCATTCAAATGCTTGTAATTAATTAAATAATGTCTTATGCAAATATTCAAATTTGATTCACACTTGATTCATTTGATTATTAATTAGCCCAAGCATATTTAATTTCTTGCTGCAATCAATGCTGGGGAGGCTTTGATTGAAAACCGAATTTGTCATTTATTAAAATGGAAGAAAACCCTCAAGCCTTAAGTGTATTAAGTGTACTGCCTGTAGTTGCTTGTAGTAGTTCGGGAAGGAAGCTTTAAGAGACTTTTTATTTATTTGTATTTTCGCATCTCATTAGGCAATTTTGATGGAAGGATTCTGATCCCGCTTGAGCTTTGGTCGATACTTGCATTTGACAACCAGGTAGTGCATGAGTAGATAGCTCAAGCCATATATGGTCATAAAGCTGGCGCCTAGAAAGAGGCCTATGGCACCTCCAATCGACATGATCAGCTGATCCATGCTGAAGACAACGCGACGCTTGATGCCCATCTTTGGGAGTTGTTGAGTGAGGACAATAGTGCCCTCAAAGCCACTAACGCCATTCTTTGGAATAATATGTTAGGAATATGAGGGGGCTATATGGAAATTGTAAGCTTACTATTTCCTTTTTCTCGGTAACAGTAAAGCTGATCTCCTTGCAGAGGGGCATGCAATCGCAAGGCTGCTCCAGCCACTTCTTACGCGCCAGGCACACCATTTGACTGACACTGCAAATGCGATCCTTGGGACCTTCCACATAGAAAAAGGGTTTGCAATCGCACAGAGCCAGGGCTCGATCGATGCGACACTCCATGCGGCACAAACTGGGATGATAGGGCTGCAAATTGCAGTAGGATCGGAAATCAATTGGAAGTGGATATGCACGACACCTACTGCATAGTACTTGAGATTGTTCTCGTCGATGTATCGGCACTTGCGATAGGCGATGGGCACATTGCGCACATCCGTCTCGGCCGAAAAGGAGTTGAGAATCAGCGTAATCTCGTATGAGTTTATGGTGTCCATGTTGATGCTCACCGTGCGACGATCATTCGGCATCAAAAACTCGTACACATCGTGAATAAACTGAGTCAGTGGACAAATGCAATACATATATGAAGTATTATTTATACGATCTGTGGAAGCTACTTACCAGAGTTACCAAAGTTCCGGATACGGCTGGCTTGATTTGGGTGCGACAATTGTCAAAGTAGGTGCACATACGAACGGGCACTGTGAGGTTTTGTCTAATCAACGGATAGTATAAATGAAGAAGATGCCTTCTTATTAATTTATATTATACTTGCTCTACATGTTTCTGAAGGGTAAAGCCAAAGCTCGCCAGCTGGCTCGTTGTTAAGCAGAGGCCCATTTCGGTTAGGCTGGACACAAGTTCGGGCACCTCCTGCTGCTTGGGTAAGGTGTTCTTCAACAGTTTCCTCAAAACCCGGACATAGGGCAAATTCTGCAGAGTCGTATCATTTTCATAGGGTATCAATGTCTCCAAGTTGTCGTATTGCAGGCGATGCAAGACATGCAAAAATTTGACGTAATATTGCATACTTTCGTCGTCAATCCCGGTTTCACTGATCTCAGACGAGTCGCTCTCCCAAATGCTGTCGATTATGATATTAGCTCTAGCAGTCTTCCTCGACTCTTCATACTCACTCAACGACCAATTTATGGGTTATACTGGAGGGCAGCTGATAATAGTGCGTACAGACTGTGGCGCCTGCGTAGGGAAACGAGCGCAAGGCAAACATATACTCATATTCGTAGATGATGGGATTATCCTTGTATCGTTGCCATTGGGCGATGCAGCTGTTGACTGCATAGTAAGTTGAGGCTATGATCATGGCCAGCCAGAAGATGCGCTCGAGAAAGTGGAGATCCTTGCGGGCGAGATACGGCATTCCATGTATGGCCGATTCCTTGCACACTTCCATCCACCAATCAATTGCCTCATCCTGCTCCTGTTTCTCCTTGTGATCCTCCTGCTGTTGCTGCTTGTCCTCGGTGTGCTCTGCCATATTGCACTGACGCTTCAGCATGTGACACGTTGGCTTTTAAATAGCTTCGCCATCGACCCATCGACTTTGTAATGATGCGTCCTAGCCATTAAGGACTCCTCCCACTCCCATAAGGAGCCAGTCCCTAATAGTATTCTCTTGTAGCTTGAATTGTTTTCATGCATGCATATTCAATTACAATGTAAAAACATGATTTGAGGTATAATAAAACATAGATTTGGTTTTACGCTGGAAGGTTAGGCACAGCTAAGGTAGCTCATATTAACACTTGTATTTACATATGAACAACTTTTGTGTAGAAATTGATATAATTTTTATGCAAATGCCGAAAATTGGTTTCACGCTCAATTCATTTGTTTACTAATCAAGCTAATTTGGAAATGGCTTAGGCTTTGTGTTAATAATCAAGTTATGCATTTTTGAGCTCAGTTAGGGCCTAAGAGTTTTGATCTCAAGGTCGTAGGTGCGAGTCACATTTTGGATGGAGGATTTTATGACACGAATTGTTGAATATTGTTGTGAATATAAGGGCGATTATATATTGTACTCATAAATCTTGATGTATGATGAATTGAACAGTTATTAATATTTCATTTATTTTCCATCTTACATGGCTGTGTATCACTTATTAAGTGACCCTCGCATTATGTATTCTATATACATTTATATATTTTTTATATTGCATTAAAGCTAAGTTTCTTTTATTATCTGTCAGCTTAATTCGACATCTTCTTAAGCAGACCTCGCAAATTTGTTCATTCGTCCATTCTTGCATTCCTTTCGCGCTTTGCCTGTTAGAGCTTTGACGCGTTGCGTTATCATCGCCCGGCTAGCTCAGTCGGTAGAGCATGAGACTCTTAATCTCAGGGTCGTGGGTTCGAGCCCCACGTTGGGCGAAGCATTTTTTGTATTAAATATTTTTTATTTTTGTATTAGAATTGAACATTTTGTTGTTTTGCCTGTGCGGGAGTAGTCTAGAAATAGACGCACATTTAAGTGGGACTATGGCTAATAAGCTGTTATTTATAGCGCTCAACCTGAACAGTGTCAGCAGCAACAACAGCAGCAACAGCAACAATTATAATCACAGCGCTGACGCAATAGTCGATGACAACATCTCGTTTTATTTTATTTCTTCTCTGATTGCTTGGAAATGGATAAAAGCCGCATTCAAGGCCGCAGCTCAACTTGTGGAAATGGCACAGTGCAATTCGCATTTGTATTGAGGTTTTTTCTTTATTTTTCTACTTTTTTGTTTTTATTAAATGTCGCTTGTCGCTTGGCTTTTGCTGGCCCGCATTCAAAGAGAGTGCACAGGATGTGCAGGAAAGCCAGGCGAACTGAGAAACTAGCAAACTGGCACAAGGCTATTAAGGCGAGGATGAATAGAGCTCGAGTGACATTGACTAGGGTAACGATACAATTGATGTACTGGAAGGAATACAAAGTTTGTGTTATATATACTATATATTTGTTGAATTATATAAAATTATTTAAATCTTGTGACAGCAGAGTGCATGGAGAACAACAGAATGTTGCTCAAGCATTCAATCTTTTCAAATTGGCTTACAATTCCCAAGTGGTGAGGGTACAACAACAGCATAATCTCTTGATAATAGAACCACCAGGCTTTCAGTTTTTTCTTCTGTTACCTAGTTTTATTGTTGATTAGTAATAGTTAGTGAGTGTTCCTTATTTACACCTAATTTCAATGAATCATAAACATTTTAGTTCCGAGAAACAGCTTTATAGAGTTGCTATAGCTTATCTAGCTCGGTTTGTGATGCCTGCTCACACATTACAAAAGAGTTTATTTGTGAGTATCAGTTTGTCTATATATACAGTCGACCATACCCGCATACCTGTGTAAACTAAGGTAATCAAATGCCTTAACTTTTAACTAAAAATTAAGTTTAATAACCTTAAACAGTTTCGATTACAACTGCAATCTTTGTCGTTCGCCTAAAGTGAAAGATCTTTTGTTTCGTTTAACACTTGGTAAAAAGTATGTGAAAACTGTGCAAGAAATAGCCTCTCTCGCTCTCACCCACTAATAATCCCTCTATCTGTCTCCTTCTCTGTTGCTCGGATGTGGACAATGATCCCCCGCAGATTGTAATCGGAGGCATGCGAAAAGTGTTTCCTCTTCAGCTTCAGCGCAACAATGAAAATGAAGAAGACAAGTCGTTATATTAATTACTTTGCATTATTGTTTAAAGCAAACTGCGGGCAATTGTTGCTGTTGCTCTTGCTGTTGCTGTTGCTGTTGCTGACGTAGATGTGTTGCTGTTGCTTTGATGAGACTGTCTGTCGTTTAGCTTGGCACTTTGACATGCTGTGCATATTGAAATGATGTTGCGTGATTGAATTGCACATACCATTTACTCTAAATCTATAGACAAACACACTCTACACATACCTATTGTTCCATGTACAATAGTGATTGCCAAACTTGGAGTTGCTCTGTGGTTTCTTCTATTGTTCGATTCTACATTCCAAATTGGCAAAGAAGCTATACAAACGCTGAAGCAGCCTCTACTCGTGTGAATCAGAAGAGAAGCTTCTCTTATGCATATACTGATCCTTGTATTATCAATGGGATCTGCGAGTCATACTTGAACTATCTCTCTAAATGTAGCTAGTATACCCAATTACCACAATCCGACAATGGATTTACAGGGTATACAGAACAAGCTGCAATTAATAATACGGTTTTTATGAAATTGCGAGAGTAACAGAAAAATGTTCTATTAGATCCGAGATAAAGTCGAGAGACGAGACTCGTGTCAATTACGTGTGCTGTGTGTGGGTGTGGCATCAACAACAACAACAACAACAAGCTTGTTGCTGTTGTCAATGTTGTTGGCGTCATTGTTATTGTTATCATTATTGTTGTTGTCTACACGGGCAATTATATGCATAAAATATTATCCCTCTCTCTCTCTCTCTTTCTCTCTGTCTGTCTGTCTGTGTGTGAGTTGGGTTTGTCTGCGTTTGCACAAATGTATACAAATCAGCATTCAATGTCAGCCAAAAGCTTAAGATATATCAGCAATATGAGCTAAATATATAACGCAGCTATACGAGGGCTGATTGATAAGATTTGTTTCATACTTATATGCTTTTCATATATTTTAGTATTTTATAAGTAACCTTTGCTCATCGTTACCTCAAGATCTCAAGATCTCTCCCCCCACTTCTCGTTGAATTGTAAATAACCTCTGTAACGACTCATCTATATCAGAATTATAACTTGTTTGTCGTGTTTCGCAACTCGTCGATCGTATCGTAAATTATGTACAATTCACAACAAGTTGTAATGTAAAATGTAAAATGACAAGATTGATTAGCCTTCCTTTACAATGTGCCATGGCCAATTAGTCAGCTATATAAATAGCTGGAAATCTGTAACAGAGTTACAGAAGTTGTCTAAAATGTTGCTGCCGTCGCTGCTGTTGCTGACCCTTCAAATGCTCTGCCAGGTCCTGGCAGTTGATTACGAGATGCTTATTGATGATCCTGATGTCTTCACCGACTGCCTGGAAAATCCGCCAGGTGCAAAAGGTGCGAGTGGCCTGTTCAATTTGGATGAATTGACATTCTCACTGAATGGCGACAAGATACATGTGGAGGGCAATGTGACAACCGTGTGGGATGTAGAGCCAACAGATCGTATAACGGTAAATTGTATTGCCATCGAATGTTACAAGTTAAATGAATGAATCGAGTCGTTAGGCTTCAGCGCGTCTAATGCAATTGGATCGAGGCATTTGGCAACCCACTGTCTTCAGCATTGCCACGCAGGACTTTTGCTCTCTTATGTACGATAAGGATCAGTACTGGTTCAAGTATTGGACTCGCTATGTTGAAGACATGGATGCCATGAAATCCAAGTGTGTCAATCATAAGGGAGTAAGTGCTCAAATTGCTTCGCCTAGATCCCCTGCTGATCCTTTGCTCTCCTCTCTCCCCACTCGCTGCAGACGAAGTTAGTTCATTCGCCCTTCGACATAAATATGGTGCTGACCAATGTCCGGGGCACCACTCTGCACGGTCGCTATAAGATTGTCGTCACCTTGGAAGCCTTCGACGACGAGAAGAATGTTAAGCGCCCGGAGAGCATTTGCATGGAGATCATTGGCGATTGTGAGAGGCTGTGAGAATCCTGGAAATTTCCTTAATGTTTGATTTATAATAAACGAAGAAGGTGTTGTAGCTGGAGTAGGAATGCAAACGATATATCGATATATATCTATATAAATTTTATACGAACACTTTTTTCTCTTGCATAAATCTTCGATACATAATGAACAACTGATGGATGATGATGATATTCATTTCGTATAATTTGTTTTATAATGGCGGATCTCTCTCTCTCTTACTCTCTATCTCTTCTTTACTATCCTTCTCTCTGACTCTCCTCTCTCTCTTTGACTCTTTGAATCTGTCTCCTCTACCTCTCTCTATGTATATTCCCCTCTCTCTCATTCTGGTTCTCATCTTGCAGTCATCACAATGTGTAGAGGGTATTATATTATAGCTTTTTGTATAAAGTCCCCCCATTTGATTTTGATTTTCTGTGGCTGCGGCACGCGCTGATGTCAACAGACATTCAACTGTCATTCGAGATTGGCCTTTGTTATCGGTCTGTATGTATACATACATAAGTATATGTGTGTAAGTATATACATACATATGATTTAAGAGCTCTTCAAGCGTTTCGCTTGTGTTGCAAGCTGCAGTTGCAGTTGCAGTCGCCGTTGCAGTTACATTTTGTAGTTTTGTATTTCAAGTCTCAGCACAGTGCCTGCTACTTGTATTCCGCCCGCATGTGGCATGTGGCATGTGGCAACGCGATCGCCTGTTCGGTTTTATTTTGTTTTTGTTTTTCTTATTCTGTAATTGAAGTGAACGCCAAATGCAAATTGCACGGCTGTCAAGTTATTAAATTACTTGATGAATGAATACACAAATCGTGGCATCCATCTATCCATCTATCTAGATTCTCAGCCATATGCCACACGATTTTCAATTGGCTGCGCATTCAATTTTAAGTGTCGATTCATTGCGCAGCAAA